ACATTCGCATAGATCCGTCCTTCTTCTTAACAAAGAGAACGGGTGCTCCCCACGGTAACACACTCGGTCGGATGAAACCGAGTCGTAACAGCTCTTGAATCTGGGTCTTAAGCTCCTGTAGCTCCTTAGGCGCCATGCGATACGGGGCTTTGGACACTGGACCGGCCCCTGGGATAAGATCAATGGAAAACTCCACCTGACGATTGGGCGGTCCTCCTGGAAGCTCGTCTGGGAAGACGTCAACAAACTCGCGAACGATAGGAACATCATGAGGTGTCCGCGCTTTCTGAGAATCCTCAATCAAGGCTTACCAGGTAACCCTGGCAGTTGCCTCGTCGCAATAACTTAGTGGCTTTCACCATCGAAATAACATGAGGCAGTGAACGGTTCTTGGAGCCGAAGAAAGTAATCGACTCGTCTCCCGGAAGATAAAGAGTGATCTCCCGGTCATGACATCTGATGTCAGCATGATAGAAAGAAAGCCAATCCATCCCGAGAATAAGATCGAAATCCTTCATCTCGAGAACAAACGCGTCGGCGGTCAATACTCGACCACCGATAGAAAGGCTAAGATCTGTAGCTTTAGCTGAAGTCACTATCGTTCGTCCCGAGGCTAAACTCACCTCGAGAGGATCGACAGCGGTAACAGCATGAACTCCGATGGCGTCGAGACACCGTCGTGAAATAAAGGTGTGTGTTGCTCCGGTATCGAATAACGCAAACACAGGAATATCATTGAGAACAACCATCCCGGACATAGTACCTGGTTGCTGTGCTGCCTCCGCCTGATCGACCGCGTAGACCCTGGCCTGCTGCCTGCCCTTCTGCTGCTGCTGCTGCTGCTGTGGCCTCTGTGCCTGCTGTCGTGGTTGCTGCTGCTGGGGTGGCTGCTGAGGTTGCTGCTGGAGTTTCTTCGGGCATCGACTCGCAAAGTGTCCCGGCTCCTGGCAAAAGTAACAGATGTCCTGTCCAGCACGACACTCTCCCCGGTGAAGTCGACCACAAGTCGGGCATGGTGGAATCTGCTGCAGCCTCTGTCGGGTCCTCTTGTCTGCCGGGGCACCTTTCCCTTTTCTCTTCTTGTTCTTTGCCGGCTGAGGAGCTGGTAAAGCTGGTGGAACTGCAACTGGCTGAGCTGGGGCAGATGGCTGAGCACGATCACGAACGGCCTCCCTCCTAATGCTAGCGTCAACCTCCTGTGCGATAGAGACTGCTCGTGCATACGTCTGAGTCCCGTGTCCCACGATGTCATGACGGACTGCTGGGTAAAGTCCGTCAATGAACCGCTGAGCTCTCTGGGCCTCCGTGCGAACAAGATCCAGTGCGAAACCTGCAAGTCTGGTGAACTCACGCTCGTACTCATCGACAGTACGAGTGCCCTGCTGAAGCGCTAAGAACTGGCGCTCCATCTCTGCCCGATAGTAAGAAGGGTAGTACTTGTCGCGGACCAGATTCTTGAACATGTCCCATGTACAACCCGCCTTTTCACCGGGACGCATGCTCCAGTAGGCATTCCACCAGAGCCTCGCATCGCCAGTGAGCTGAAGCTGAGCGCAAACTACGCGATACAGATCGGGGCATTCCATAACCTCAAAGATAAACTCCAACCCCTGAATCCATTCATCAA